CACTCTTAAAAAAAAAAAAATCAATGGAAAAAATATCCTCACTTCTTGGGTAAGGACCGAAAAAAAGATTTAAAAAAATAATAAAGATGGAAGAAAATATCCATCTATTTTTTCTCATTTCTATTACCCAGCTACTGAATTAGAGTTAAGGCTTTCTTTCCTAATGTATACGTTTGGGTAACATCATAATTAAGAAAATTATTCCATCATACCTAACAGAGGATGCTTTTCCTCCCACTGCACCTTGTTCCACTTCATCCAGTAGTTCCACTGTAAAAGAAACAAGGGGCTTCCAACAGTTTCCAATTTGAAATCAATTAACACCCTCATCTGCCCCTGCCCACAGTTTGACTGTGTTCCACAAATAGTAACTGGGAATGAAATGTTAGTTCCTAGAGGCCTTTATATGCTAACAATAGAGTAGAAAAGACTATCCAAAGTACTGAAGACTCCTTTTATTTATTTTTATTTTTCAAGTACAGTTGGCATTCAATATTATATTAGTTTCAGATGTACAGCACAGTGGTTAGACATTTATATAACTTATTAAGTGATCACCCCGATAAGTCTAGTAGCTACCTGGCACCATACTGTTATTATGATATTATTAACTATATTCCCTATGCTGTGCTTTACATCCCCATGACTATTTTGTAACTACCAATTTGTACTTCTTAATCCTTTCATCTTTTTTTCACCCAGCTCCCAATCCCCTCCCATCTGGCACCCATCAGTTGGTTCTCTGTATCTATGAATTTCTTTTTTGTTTGTTCATTTATTTTGTTTTTTAGATTCCATATATAAGTGAAATTATATTAGTCTTTCTCTGTCTGACTTATTTCACTTAGCAAAATACCCTCTAGGTCCATCCATGTTGTCGTAAATGGTAAGATTTCATTCTTTTTTATGGACAAGTAATATTCCATTGTATATATATACACCACCTCTTCTTTATCCAAATGTCTGATGGACACTTAGGTTGTGAAGACTCCTAATAAATATGTCCCTATGTAGCTTCCTTGGCAGGATTAGGAACTTCTCTACATGTTATGTTTGCCTTTTTTGTTCCAGGGCACTTCTGTGGACATATAGATTGGTTCTAGAGATAGCTTTTCTTTTATATTCATTCCAATCCTAATGCACCTTCTATCACACTATGTACTGTTTGGAGGTTTTCTATGAAATCATTTACAGATCTGTCCCTTTCAAACTCTCACAGGCTGGTACATTAATAGTTCAGTGACATGAAAGGTAATAAAAACTAGATTAGAAATCACAAAAGATACATGAGAGAAAACATTCCATGAGATTCTGAACCATTTATTTTTAACCTAGCAGTACAGGGAATGTAGGGAAATATGTATCATTGATTCTAAGATACACATCTTAAACAGCTCTGAAATTGGTTATGATTTACAGTAAGTACACATGACAATTGGAAGCCTTTTTTCTTTTCTTTCTTAGGGTGGGAAAAGTAATAGTGTATCTTATAATTAATGGTATCTTAGATTCAATTGCATACACTTAGTTACTTTTCAGGAAAGGCTCTCGGGGCCACTCTCAAATGTCTTTCCCCTAAACTATCTAGAAGTGTTGAGTTTGGGGCAGAGAAAGTGAAATTCACTAAAAACACTGATTAATCAATTATTATCCTTCATCATGATAATTCTTATTCAAGGTGCTTTTCAGGGAGACCCCTCCATGTCTGATTGAGCCACAGTGCAAAGGAGAAGGCCATCTTTTGAGCCTAAAAATTATGAACAAAGGCTAAGTCCTGAGAAGAGAATTTAGGAGAAGATGAAATCTAAGTGTACAAATCACAAAGCTGGTCAGTGGTTAATATTCTCCTGAGTTAGGAAGATGATAGTAGCAATTCCTTCACTTCCCTTTTTAAACTCATCCACAGCCTAGCTTTGTGCCAGATCAGAGCTCTGTTCCTCTGCAAAGGCTAATACTTAAAACACAATTAAGAAACCCACTACTGCCACCACCATCACTGACATTATAAAAAGGTATTGAAGGGACAGAGTTTTACAGTAGCATACTTAGTGACAAAGAACAGTTAGATAGATGGCTAGAAGTGGGTCTGGATTGGCAGTCATTAATTTGGTGAGATTTTCATCTCTCCCTAAATTCTACTTCTCTCACAAAACAAAGTAATCTTTTAAGCAGCAGTAATTTCTCATTCATAGGAGTCCTTTCCTTTCCTCATATTTGCCCCAATGGTGAGAAATGTAGAGCTCTAAGCAGTCCCAGATCTCTCTGCCCTGCACTGATCTTTACTCCTCCTTAGAGGGCTTTCTGCTTTTGAGTTCTTGAAAGCAAACATAGTTCTTGCTCCTCGCCCTTTTCTTAGCCTATGTGGCTTGTCTGAAGCACACTGAGATGAGCTTCTAAACTCTTTCAGGAAAACAACTGAACCTACTCAACAAAATGGCTTTTGTTGGCAGAAATAAAGAACAGGGCTGCTTCCTGTGATCCCCAAACCCAAAAAGCTCTAAAAACCAAAAAAAAAAAACAAAACAGTAATTCTTTTGGCAGCAAAACCTAAACTGACATACTATTTATAGTCCTTTTTTATTCCACTTAGTATGATTATCCACCCATTTCTCTATAGAAATGTGTTTTATTACAGAGTCCTGCCTAGATCCACTTGAGGTGTTATGTAATATGAACGTTATATATCCTGTGTTAGGCTTTCCAAAAGTCCAGAACAATTCTGGATTCTGAAACATTTCAGAATAAGGGACTGATGTACTGTGAATCTGCAGTGTTAAACTCGCTTGCTGATCAAGACAATTCCTTTCTGTTCAGATTCCTAACTCTGCCTGCTGGCTGAGTCTCTAGTAATGGGCACCAGCAATCCTCACATTGTAAAACTAAGATGACTAAAATTCTCTAAGACTATTCTGCTCATAATATCCATTGAAACAGTAACGTAAGGGTCAATTCTCAAATACTAACTTTAAGAGTTCATAAGTGCAATATTAAAGGCAAGATAACTTTTTTTTTTCAAATATTGGAATGAGGCAGTGCAGTGAGTTTACTACTACTGCAAATCCCAATAACAGCATTCAGGAAAATGAAGTTCTCACCATTCACAATCTCATGCCCAAAAAACATCTTCACTCCTGGGACACTTCGACCAGTCTCCACATTCTTCACTGTTATAGAAAACAATTCAATTGGTTAATAAGAAATAATATTCCTTAAAACTATTAGAAAATATGATGTCTCTCAAAAGTGCTCAATCTGAGTTTTATAAAAATTCCCCAATTATTTTCCCCAAAGAATGGAGTCAATAACAAATTACAAAGCTATAGCCTTGAAACAACTAGTATAAAGAACAGAGGGAACCCTAGAGAAACTAAAAGGGCACTAGTAGTACACTGAACTTAAACTTCTCCCAAGAAGCTCTGACTGGGTAGCTCAGTTGCTTAGAGCATCATCCTGATACACCAAGGTTGTGGGTTCCGCCTCCGGTGAGGGCACATACAAGAATCAAACAATGAATACATAAATAAGTGGAACAATAAATTTATGTTTCTTTCTATCTTCCCCTTCTTCTCTCTCTCTCTAAAAATCAATAATAAGCAAACATTTACACTTCTCCCAAGAATATGCAAAGGCCTTTGGGGCTAAGGATTATATCTACTTACTATATTCCCATTGATTTTTACTTCACCTAACTCCAGAAAAATTTTCAGGCAGCTGACTCAATTTCTACAGTCCACACTCTGTTTCATGTCATGCTATATGCTCAAAAATATGAATTGTCAGGAACAATCCAATTCCTGGCCCAAACACAGGGCTCTTCTTTGAGCAGATAAGGGAATTAGTTGTTCAGATGTCATGTCTACAATATGCTGTTATTTTTTTTAGATGGAACTGCTTATAGCAGCTGCATATTCCCACATTTCTCAGCAATCCAAAACAACTGAGTTTCACCCTCACTATTTGACAATATTCTTACTGAGGTCAAAGATCACCAGCTGCCTATTTCTCAAATCCAAAAAAAGTTTAGTCTTAACATACTTGGCTCCCATGGATCCTTTGATACTGTTCTCTCTTTTCTTCTTGGCTTATAGGATACTCTCTGTTTTTAGTTCTTTTCCTACTAGTTACCTGGAACTACCACGCCAGGCACCATGCTAATTATTTGCCTACATTTAATTATCCAGTAACATAAGATGGGCATTTCATTATCTCCATTACGGAGGAATCTAAGGCTCAGAAAGGTTGAATAATTTGCTTAAGGTCACACTGCTAGTAAAAGACATAGTTAGGACCCAAACCCAGGCCTCAGTGATTTTAATATGCATCTTATAACCAGTGTTACACTGTCACCCTGATTTGCTTCCAGTCTCCTTAGTCTCCTCTACCATCTCTGCATGCCCATTAAACATTGATAGTCCCCAGGAATATGTTATTCATATTTTTTCCTTCTTCTTGAATGATCACATAGACTTCCTAGCTGTCCTGACATCTGTTATTTCTCCAGTATGAAATATTTCTCTGAGTTCCACTCACATTTTCAACTGACTAATGGCAGAGTTACTATAAAATTTTCAAACTGAAATAATTATCTTCTCCCAGTAACCAATAAACCTGCTCCTCTTACCATTACTATCAATTAATAACAGTACTATACACCTAACTTTCTGAGTCATAAATGTAGGAGTCATTTTCCATTGCTCTTTACCTAATGATTACTTGGTTACTCATCCCATCTCCTAAGCATTTATAGAATCTGTTTTCTCTTCTCCATTCCTTGCCAAGGCCCATCATTTCTTTCATTGTGTTCCTTAATTGTCTGAATAGTTCCTGTCTATTCTCCTTGCATCTAGTCTCCCTACTTCAATCCTTCCTTCACACTGCTGTCACAGTGATGTCACACTCTGCTTTGTCCAAATAGTACATAAAATCAGGTAACAAGTGTAAAGAAATATGTTCCACCTCTCTAGAAATATTTTAAAACATGCCAAAATGAAATATCACTTTTTTGCCTACAAAACTAGCAAAAATCAAGGAATGATACACGAGCATTTTTTTAAAAACCCAACACTAGATTATTTACTGTAGTTTATTCATTCATTACTAGAAGCAAAATAAGGCACAACCCTTTTGCAAAACTATTTGGAAATACACATCAAAAACATTTAAAATATCCATAACTTTCACCTAGTAATTTCACTTCTGGAACTATTCCTAAGAAAATAATTATGAAATATAATAAACACTTTATTTTATAATTATGAAAATTTTAATTATAATTATTTACATTTTAATTATAACACTGCATTACTATATATCTTTCTTATGTCTACTACTAGACTGTTTTTTGAAAACAGGGACCACGTTATTCTTATCTATATCCCTGGCACAGTGCCTGGGATATGAAACTAGCAGTAAATGGTTACTAAATGAATTAATCCTAGCCCACAAAAATCATAATATGGCTTAACAATAACCCTAATTTCTCAAATGCCATTTATGTATGTGTTAATTGTGAACTTGAAATTTATGCCAGGAAAACAACTATCCTAGTAAGTCAATATTCTAGCTGAATTTAATACTACATATTGTAGCTTTAGGTGAACACATGGAGAAGCTAGGAGGGTGGGACAACCAGAGAAAGCATGGAAATTCTAAGCCCCTTCCCACCTCTTTGCCCCATCCATCTTTTCCATTTGGCGGTTTCTGAGTTCATGCTTTATAATAAACCAGAAATAAAGCTGGGAGATGTAGAGGTTATTTTATGACCACAAGAATAACAGATAATCACTGAGGTGGCAGAGCAGGAGCACAAGATATCTGGTCCCTCCAGGTATTTTTGAGCCACTGCACTGTTCCTAAGCAACCTACCTCTGGACTTCTTTTTGCATGAGAAAAATAACCGTCTTTGTGGATTTTTCTGCTGAAGCCAAATGCAATTCTATCTAATAGAGTGGTTATTTTTAATTTCAAGATACATATGGAGAAAAATTAAAAGAACTACCCAATTAAAATACTTTCTATATTGAAATTTTCCACAATCATGTCAATAAAAGTATAGAAGTGGGACAAGCTAGCATATGCAGCCATGTTGCTCTGTTAGGAAAAACAGCACACTAATCTTCCTCCTACCCCTTCCCTAAAATAGGAATGATCCCTACTAATAATCCCATGGAGCCCAGAGTCATCACCCAAACTCAGTTACGAATCTCTTAAAAGGCAGAAGATTATGAGAAATAAAAAGAGACCTTTGGAGGGCGTGGGTGGGTGGTGAGAGATTAACCAAGAATTTATATGCATATGTGCATAACCCATGGACACAGACAATAGTGTAGTGAAGGCCTGGCGTGGGGGTAGGTGTGGGGTAGAGGGGGTCAATGGGAGAAAAAAGGGGTACATCTGTAATACTTTCAACAATAAAGATAAGTTTAAAAATAAATAAATAAATAAATAGATGATAGATAGATAGATAGATAGATAGATAGATAGATAGATAGATAGATAGATAGATGATAGATAAAATACAATAAAAAGAGACCTTTCTTCAAGACAACAATCTTGTTAGGGTCCACATGCTGGAGCACTCCCTCAAAGATGCCACAAACCAATGTTAGTTTCACCCTTCTCCACAAAATTTGATTGAGGAAATGGTAGTCACTGCTGGGATCCATGCTTTTTGATTCTAAAAGCAGTCTTCAAGTAATCTTCTTCAAATATCTAAGCATTTGAAAATAAAAGAGATCTATGATTTTTTAAATGTTTTGGGAGGAGTCGAGTTATTTTCCCTTTCCCCATGCCTGGAAGGGACAAGAAAAATAAAAATATGAGAATAATTTAGTTTTGTTCTCTTTTTAGAATGATAATGAAAAAGAGATCACTGTAAGCACTAACTCTACTTTATACATGGGGAACTGAAAACTATAGGACTTAAAACAAGGTAGGCTTGGCTTTTTTGTCTACAAAAAGGAGTACTACCAGCTTTCCTTCCTTAACTAAATAACAGAACATTTAGAGGCTTTTTATCTTTTTAATAGCAACCAAAAAAACCCCTAAAAGAACAAATGAAAAAAAATTGGTATTGGCAAAACATTTCCAATACATGCTGCAATAAACTGTTTACCCAGAAATGTCTGTGATCTACTCTCTTCTAAATCAGTAACATTTCCAGAGTTTTTACCAACCAAAGCATAAGTGACTTAGAACTATCACAATTTATGCATTACCATTCCACCTGCCATGTCACTGCAAGGGCTTCCATCCGACCCTAGCCACAGCTCAAGCAGCAGGCTGCTGTAGTATCACCAACCAGTCATTTGCAGCCTGACAGATTAAACTGCCACATGCTGTATGCTAGTTTAGTAAAATTCAACTGCTTTTGTGATAATGATGCATGCTCATTATAAACAATGATAATGCAGAAATATAAAAAAAGAAACTTTACCTTGTAGAAATGACTATCATTCATAGTAAATACTCATATTCTTTAGTGTAATACTGTAATTTAAAAGATGAATCTTGTTTTTTAAGTATCTTTTAGAACAATCCTGTGGTTTGGATATCCTTGTTTTTAGAACCCTAGATAAATTTTCCTCTACAATGGTTTAAATTTAAAAACTGCTAGCTTTTGCCACAGTAGGAATAGTCAACCAGCGAATTTACAATTTACTTGAACTATAAATTGACAGAATAATTAAGGCATAATTCAACTAGGAAAAAGGGGAGAAGATACATAGCAATTTTAGCCAGATAAATTACCTATATTTTTACATTTTAAGGTCTAGCAAGTACTTTCACAAATGTTATTTGTTGCCTACAACAACCATTACCTAATTTACACGTGCATACACTGAGGCTTAAAGATTTAAAACACCTGCCCAAAGGCACACATTTAGAAGGTAATGGAACCTGAACGAAAACCAGGCCCCATAGTGAAGGGTATGTGTAGTCTAGGGCAAGACCAAGTGTTAAGCATCCAGAGAAAACATAAGTCACCAAAGTGTCTGAGAAAAATCATCCTTCTTTGTTCAAATCAATCCAACAGGCAAAAGGGGAATTTTTACAGAAACAAAAAAGGGCATAAAATTGGGAAGAAGAAAAAAAAACAGCCTTAATAGAGGCAAAAAAATAATTTATGTTTTTAAAAGGTACATAAGTTTGTGGGATGCTTGGAAAGGAAACAAATATTAAGGTAGGAAAAAACATTAAGCAAAGAAAGCTTTGACTGAGGACAGCTGCAAATGATAAGATTCAAGATTAGGAAGGTCAGAATCTAGAGATGGGCTTCAATCCACACTTAGAAAAGAGACATCATGTGGCTGACATCAAGGTTTTTCTACCATACCCATACTCCCAAGGAGCTCCTGTGGCTTCTAGAGGGGCATATCCAAAACATCACACTCTGCACGTGAAGGCAGCCATCACTAGGTCCAACAAGAGCAAGTCAGTCATGAAAAAACAGTGAGACTAGAACCTCGGTCTCAGGCTACGCCTTCAAAGCCTTAGGTGAAGCTTAAAACTAGTTAAGCCAAGTTACTTAGGCAGCTCGCTAAGAGAGTCCCCTAGCGCTTAGGAACTAAGTGATAGGGGTGGGAATTTGGTTCTAACCATATCCCAAACCGGTTCTGTGCAAAACGACACTTGAGGGGTGAGGAGGGGGGTGTAAAGGCATCGAAGCCACAGGAAAAGGACTAGTTCACCTAAGAGGGTGGATTAACATAAGGGGTGGTTTTAATCATTTTCAAGAGAACAGAAATATGCCATAAGAATAAAACGCAGCCCTGGCCGATGTGGCTCAGTTCGTCGGAGAGTCGTTCCTCAAAAGGTGGCGGGTGCGAGTCCAGTCGGGGCACCTACGCAGGTTGGATCCCGCCAGGCGCCTACGGGAGGCAACCCAGGGATGTTTCTCACATCGATGTTTCTCTCTCTCTCCCTTCCTCTAAAATAATATGTGTATGTGTGTGTGTGTGTGTGTGTGTGTGTATACTCCTCGGGTGAGGATTAAAAAAATACAATGCAAAATTCCTTATTTTTAAGGCAAAATAACAAACTTCAAATAAAAGGCGAGTCATACGCTAGGAATTCACTCTTCTCTGCCGTTAGGGGTTTTTAGCCTAAGGAAGTTTGGGGAATCCTGTCGCAGTCTTCGCCAAATGGTGCGTTCCTCGAGCTTCAGTCTTGAACCGTGAAAAGGGACCGCTGCTACGGACGAACTCTCCGCGCGTTCCAAGCCCGCGGCGGCGGTTACCGGAGGACCGGAGACGAGTACGCAACAGTTGGTTCCCAGCTCAGCTCAGCTGACTCTGGCCGGGGGCACGAGAGGTCCAGCTGTTTCCTGAAGAGCCAATCAGCGCGCGGCCTCGAGGCAGATTCCTTAGCGCCCCCAGCGGCCGGGAGGAGAGAGGGCGGCCCCGAAAAATGAGGAAGTGCAATTCCCAGCATGCAGTTCCCGGAAGACACACCCTAGAGTTCCCCCAAGCTACGTTTTGTCCATTTTTATTGCTTCTCAGCGCCGTCCCTGCCACCCGTAGGGTGGGATTTCTATGTTAGAGTTCCGCGAGAAACTGCTTAGCTACGGACTGCCTGTCGCAGGTTAGCTTGTAAAGTGAACCAATGGCGTTGTCCCTTTAATTGCGGTCACTAGAGCCAGAGTGGCATTGCCCTTTTAAGGCCGATTGCATCACAATTCCGGGGGCGGGGTCCGTCTCCAGCTAGACTCGGCTCCGCGCTGAGATGATTCATTCGGCGGTTGGAGCTTGCAGCGTGGGCGTCCGGTGCTGCGCCGGCCTCAGCCTCGCTTCTCATTGGCTACCCTCGGGGACGCCCTCTCTGGCGCACAAACCTTGGGTACCCTCCCCTGACCCCTGGCCCTTCCCCGCTTTCCTCCTTCCCTCAGCTACCTCTGTTGCTTGAGGCGCTCCAGCTCCCGGAGGAGCTCCCGGCTCGGTGATGGGGTCTCGGGCCTCCACGTTACTGCGGGACGAAGAGCTTGAAGAAATCAAGAAGGAGACTGGCTGTGAGTTCGGGTAGGGGGGTGGAAACGCGTCCAGGGCGCCTGCGGCTGGCTTCAGGACGACCGGGGGAGGTTGTCGCTGAGGTCTAGAGCTGTGGTACCCGGAGGTTGCGGGGCCCCGGGCAGCCTCCAGCCCTGGAGCTTCAGAGCCGAGAGCAGGAGAACCTGTTCTTCCAGCTACGGCTGCCCGGAGCGGGGTTCTGGCTCCTGGGGACTGCTCTTCAAAGGTGGGATTCGCGACTAGCATAGATCACAGATGCCGCTCATTTCTCCTCTCCTTGCTTATGAAAGCCCCGAACTCCTTTATCTTTCCTCTCACCAACCTCAAATTCAGGAACTCTGGATGGACCCTGTAGAAAACCTCTTACTGTGACGTTTCTGGGCAAGGACTTAAAATCACTTACATCTGTGAGAAATAGCAAATACTTGCCACAGCTGGAAAAAAGAAACGCAGAGAGCCAGATCACGTAGTAAGACTGAACTACGTGAGCTGGTGACAGGAGACCTTGAAAGAATCAGGGGTCTGAGAGTATAAGACTTATTCTGAACTTGTGGAGAAAAAAACATGGGTACAGTGATTACCAGTTTTTACTTATGCTGAGGATGCTTGCTATCCCGATTTCAGATATATTGATTTATACTGTGCTGGTGTACTTTATGCAGTCACTATGGAAATTGGATGTGCTTCAAAACTCTCAGTGTGAATTTGTATTAGAAACCGATTTTTTATAGTCCAGTCTCTTCATTAACCTGAACAAAGGGGCAACAGGGCTTTGGGAATTCAGAAGCTCTGTAAAACACCATCACATACATTTGTATAGTCCTTGATAATATATGTAACATTTTCTCTTCTCAATAATACATTATGACTCTTGTATTTTACATGAGTTATGTAGCATCTGAGATTTGTCTCTTCATGCTACCTGTCTTTGATAATAAGGTGGCCGGTAAGTAATTCAGTGGCCTATATGCAGGTAATATAGGAGTATGCTGCGGGAACTACAGAATTACTCAGGCAGTGGTGACCTGAGATAAATTAAATGCTGTCCAGTGCTTTCTGACAAATTCAACTTTCTAGAACCTTCAAGTTGGAAGGGATGTTATCTAGTCCTAGTCTTTGTCTGAGTGGTTTACTGCTTTCGTTGTCCAGTAACATATGGCCATTATGCTTCTCCATAAAGGCTAACGATGATGAGCTCACCACATACCAGTGCTGTCCTTTCATGATTTTGGATGAATGATGGAAAGTAGTTCACTCTTTATAATGTGCAGTATTTGTTTGGCCACTTGATCTTTTTTTTTTTTAAATTTTAGATTACATTTTATTTATTTATTTATTTATTTATTTATTTATTTATTTATTTTTTAATTTTATGGCCACTTGATCTTATAGTCTGTTTATGACACTCTAACTCCAAGAGTAGAAATATAGACAGTTTGGATTCAGCAAGCATTTTATTACATTTTGTGGCCATGACCCCTATGTTAGGCCTAAGGTGACACCAGAGTTAAAGCACTTGTGCTTAAAAGAAAAAGTCACATTAGTGAGGAAGTATAAAGCATAGTGAGGATGGGAAAAAGCTATTTTTGCCCCAAGATGAAGGGAGCAGTAATCCCATTCTGATTTGTTTACATTTGACCAATGAAAGGGGCCTGGATGCTATAGGACTCTGGGTTTTTTTTACTGTGTAACTTGTGGACACACAGAACTAAGTACTCCTGGAAGAGCTGTTTTCCTAGTAGCCAAAAAGTGAATCAAGCCTGAATGAGTCTTAACTACAACCAGTGCAAACATATGTATTAAGCCAGAAAGCCTAATAAAACAAGTACTTACTGAATTTTTGCAATGTCTGTATTCAGTACTGTGCTAGGTAGTCAAAGCAGATGGTGACAGAAGATACCCACAACTTGGTGGGTAATCCTACAAGAGCTAGGATTAGCATCAGGACATAAGGTAACTGAAATTGTGTGACACCCATTTGCAGAACTCAGAGAAGACTCAGGGAAGCCTTGTGGGCTCGCCTTGTGGAGGACAGAAATTGGGCCTTGCTTGATGCATACATGAATGGATTTCATTTGGATAAATTAGGGCATTTTTGGTGGCTTCCAGGAACATTATCCCCTAGCCTGCTGCACAGTTATTCCTCCTCCCTGGGAGTTGAGCCATCAATTTATCCAGTTAGTGCGCATCAGCAGAGTTGATTTTTATTTTATTTTTTTAATAATTTTTTAATTTTCCAATTACAGTTACATACAATATATTAGTTTCAGATATACAGCATAGTGACTAGACAGATAACTTACGAAGTGATTACCACAATAAGTCTAGCATGCACCTGACATCATACATAGTTATTACAGTATTATTGCAGAGTTGAATTTTAAAGCAGTAATTTTAGCATGATATAAAAGATTTAGAAGAATAAAAACAGATACCCGAGGGTGGGTTAGAGAGGTGGAATTTGTCCTATTTTCATCTGCTTTGTTTGGGGAGCCATCAGTCAGAAACACTTCAAGTTAAGCACAAGTGTAAGACATTTTACTATTCCCTTTGCCTATAAGAAAATGTAATTGAGAAAAACTGACTTTATATATAGATATTTTTAATATTTTTTTTATTGATTTTTTTCACAGAGGGAGGAAGGGAGAGAGAGAAATATCGATCAGTTGCCTCCTGTACCCACCCTGACAGGGGACCAAACCCAGAACTTGGGCATGTACCCAGATTGGGAATCGAACCCTCAACCCTTTGGTGTATAGGACAACGTTCAATAAACTGAGCAACACCAGCCAGGGCAAAACTGACTTTATATTTAATATGAAAGGTTTGCACTGCAATCATTGAAAAATTTAAACAATTTTTCCTAAGTCTAAATTGATTAGAATTCATGTATCACCAGTTTAGCCAGTATTTGAAATTTAACCTAAGTGATTCTAGGAAACTAATTCTAGAATTACCTGTAAGCCTCAGTTTCATCATCTGTAATTGGGAATAATAATAGTAGCTACTTTATAGGAGTCTTATGAGAATTAAATGAGAGCCTGGCCGGGTATGGCTCAGTGGTTGAGAATCGACCTAGGATCCAGTCGATGGGGATTCAATTCCCAGTCAGGGCTCATGCCCGGGTTGCAGGCTCGATCCCCAGTACAGGGGTGTGCAGGAGGCAGCTGATCAGTGACTCTCTCATCATTGATGTTTCTACCACTCTCTCTCCCTCTCCTTTCCTCTCTCTGAAATCAATAAAGATATATTAAAAAAAAAAAATTAAATGAGATAAATTATGTAAAGTACTTAGAATAGTGCTTGGTGTATAATAAGTGCCAGGTAAGTGTTAGCATTTATTATTTTGAACCATAAATTAACAATCATCTTATTGGGAAGATACCATTTGCATGTGCTAGTTATAAAAGCCATGTCTAGGGCTATATAATTGTATAAAATGACAGCATTTTATACTTTTCCTAATTACAGGGGCATTGGATTAGGAATCAAGTACAAATGTTTTCTCAATTCTAAGGAAATGTAAATTTTAAAGGAGTAGAAATCCCAATGTTTCTAACAGTTTCAAAAACAGTAATAACATTTTGTGTGGGCATAAAACATTCGCTATATTGTGTTTGTTCTTTTACCTTCTTTCACACTTTAACATTTCCATAAATTAAAGCTAATTTGAATAAAAGCTTTCATTAGGAGGAAGGTCACAAGTGTCTTGGGAGTTTCTGTAATCTCCACCCTTAGTTCACCTAACTGTAGCAATAATCTGGCTGTGAATTATTTAAAACCTTTTTTTTTGTAAATGGCCATTTAGAATATACGCACTCCTACGTTCATGGCAGCGTTATTTACAATAGCCAAAATATGGAAGCAACCCAAGCCCCCATCTATAGACAAAGTGGGTAAGAAAGTTGTGGCACAGCCCTGGCTGGTGTGCTCAGTGGTTAGATAGTGTTGGCCTGTGCACCGAAAGGTCTAGGGTTGGATTCCTAGTCAAGGGCATGTACCTGGGTTGCAGGTTTGATCCCCTGCCCTGGTCAGGGCACCTGCAGAGGCAACCAGTCAATATGTCTTTCTTATATCTCTGTCTGTCTCTTCCCCTTCCCCCATCTCCCTCCTTCCTTTCCACTCTCTGAAAAAATCAATGGAAAAAATATTCCATGATTAACATCAACAAAAAGTTATGGTACATTTGTATAATGGAATATTACTCGGCCATAAAAAAGAGTGAAATCTTACCATTTGCTAAATCATGGATGGACCTAGAGGATATTATGCTAAGTGAAATAAGTCAGACAAAGACAAATACCATATGATTTCACCTGTGTGGAATCTAAAGAGCAAAATTAATGAACAAACCAAATAAAAACAGACTCATAGATACAGAGACTAGACTGATGATTGCCAGAAGGGAGGGGGTTGGGCGGCTGGTTGAAAAAGGTGAAGGGCTTAAGAAGTACAAATTGGTTATTAGAAAATAGTCATGGGGATGTGTAAAGTACAGCATAGGGAACATAGTCAATAATGTTGTAATAACTATGTGAGATGCCAGGTGGATAACTGAAATATCAGGGGGAACACTTTGTAAAGTATTTGATTGTCTAACCACTGTGCTATACACCTGAAACTAATACAAAATATAATAATGAATGTCAACTGTAATTGAAACATTAAAATTTTAAAAAATTAAAAATGATTAGATTCAAGTAAGGAAAAAGTTGAGTTCCAAAATCACAAGACAAATTGTGTAAATAAGAAGTAATGCCCGGCCGGGCGTGGCTCAGCGGTTGAGCATCGACCTAGGATCCAGGAGATCGAGGTTCCATTCCTGATCAGGGCACATGCCCGGGCTGCAGACTCAATCCCCAATGACTCATCATTGATGTTTCTGTCTCCCTCTCCTTTCCTCTCTCTGAAATCAATAAAGATATATTGGAAAAAAAAAAAAAGACATATTAATACAATGCCTGAATAAATATCAGAATATATACATCCACAAGAAAAAAATAGCCATTTTTATGCCAACTGAGTGGTGGAGAATACAGATTCATTCTTTTTTGTCTCTGGTTTCTAATGTGTCATTTGGTATGGAGAAGGTATTGAACAGGTTTAGAAAGTAAGTTTTACAGGCTGGTAAGGTTTGTGTATGTTTGATGGGTGTAGTGATGATAGAACCAGTAGGGATTTCTGGACAGTTCCAACAAAGAACACAAGCCTGGCAAAGGCAGTTGCTTGAGAATGATTTCCTGAGCTAGAATATTAAGTGGAAGTTTAACTTCAGGCTCAGCTGCTACTTCCTCCTAATGCAAGACTCCTTCCTGGCCCTCACCTGCCATGCCATAGTCCCTGAAGGTTCTGTCACTACAGAAGACCCTTCTGTCTTCTGGTTTTCATAAAAATGGAAATGTACATAGTGTAACTTAACACCTGTAGCTGGTTTGGGATTAAGTGATTTGTACACCTCTATACTTCCCCCCACCCCCAACTTATTATAATGAAAAATTTCAAAGAAAAGTTAAAATAGTATAATGATCTATATACCTTCCACCTTAATTCAACAGTTTTTAACATTTTGCTATATTTGTTTTACATATATATTTTTGTGTGTGTGTTTGTTGATTTTAGAGAGAGAGGGGAAGGAGGAGGGATAGAAAAATAGAAACATCGATGAGAGAGAAACATCTATCAGCTGCCTCCTGCATACCCCCTACTGGTGATCTCTTGGTTCAGGGATCACCGCTCAACCACTAAGCCATACCGGCGACGCTATTTATGTAATGATGAACCAGCTGAAAGTTAGATATCTGAACTCTTCATCCCTAAATACTTTGAACGAATAGGGATTTTTCCTATATAACCACAATACTATTTCACACCTGAGAAAATTGACAATAATTCTATTATACTGTACCATTCAGTCCATATTCAAATTTCCCCAGTTATAAAAAGGTAGTTTGGTGTGTGTTTTTAAATGCCTTTTAAATCTCTTTTATTTGTTTGGATTCCCTAAGAGAGTAGGGTCAGCTCTTGAAGTTCTCGTCCGGGGAAATCGGGGAAATGTTGGGGTGCAGAGTGTTCAGGGGGAATAGTTAGGTATGCAGGCTTCAACACTTCAATCTTTCATCTAAAGTTACCTTTGGTTACAGTTGTATGCTTTACCTAGGTTATCAGTCTGTTCTTCTGCATTAAGATTTAGGATAAAGGCAAGGGTAAAATAACTTTTTTCTTCCTCCATTTTCATTTTTATTTTTCCCTCTGCCATTCCTTAGTGTTTGGCGCTTCTCTGAAGTGCCGTTCTCTGACCTCAAGGCAGTGATGATAGAAAGGTTTGGAAGATTAGCAGGGTCTTCTAAGTAATCTCTCAACAATATAAAGTAATTTTTTGCCCACCAATGGAGAAAAATACAGGGTAGGGCAAAAGTTTACAGTTGTTCATATGGAAAATAATACAATAATTCACTAATAATACAAGACTTAATTGTTTCACGTACGACTGTAAACCTACTTTACTCCGCCCTGTACACCTTCATTCAAGACATGTCCATGTGCATGCACAGCCTTTTCTGAGAGTAACTGCCAATTCCTGGGGTTTCCTGTGAGTTACCAAGACTTGTACAAGTTTGGGGCACCTGTCCTGCCTGTTACTCTAGTGCCTCCTGGTAAGAATAGTTTACTGGAAACTTCCTGCCTTCATTTGTGGCAGTTCCAATGCCTTTCTGCTGCTTGAAGTTGCTCTGAGCACTGTGCCTTGAAAGTTGCTTTATATTTCTTGGTCACAGTGGATTTGGCACCTAAATTAAAGCTTTAAAACTTTTTTTCCTTGTTTCCTTCCTTCCCCTCTGTTTTCTTCTTATTTTTCCTCCTCCTCCCCTCTTTTTCTTCTCCCCCCTCCCACTTGTCTTCCTCCTTCTCCTCCTCTCTTAGAAAAAGCTCTTCGTAACAATATCATTATAACATTGGTTATCAAATTTAGGAAATAGATTGAGATATGACCGTATTGAGTTGTATTAAAAGTTGACATTTCGTGGTTCATTTCTCCACTGATTTCCATATAGCCCACTTTGCCCTGGAAGATAGCAGTTTTGTGGTTGTTTGGCTACTTATGTGCATGTTTATTTTTAACATATGGTAAATTATGAACTCTAGCAGCCATAAACTGATCTTTTATTCTGAAATATGTGTGTAAATGCCATACTGGTACTTACTAAGAAAATTTAAAAACTCATAAGAGATTTCAGTGCCCAGTTCTTTGTTGTTGTTGTTGTTAATCCTCATCTGAGGGTATTTTTCCATTGATTTTAGATAGAGTGGAAGAAAGGGAGGGGGGAGAGAAAGAGAGAAAGACAGAGAGGGACCTCAGTGTGAGCGAAACACATCTGTTAGTTGCCTCCCAAACTCGCCTGACTGGGGAAGGGATCAAACCTGCAACCCAGGTATGTGCCCTTGATGGGGAATCAAACCCAAGACCCTTTGGTGCTCAGTGGACGCTCTAACCACTGTGCACACCGGCCAGGGCAAATGCCCGGTTCTTTCAGATGGTGATCTATATTAGGAATATGTCTGATGGTTCATTTATTAGTTGAAGGGGTTGGACTAGATGGCAACATTCCTTCTAATTTAAAAATCGTATAAATCACTATGCATGCTTATATATACGCACATGGAATTTGTAGAAGGATTCACAAGAAACTGATTAATAGTGTTTGCCTCTGGCAAGGGAGACCGGGGAACTCAGTTGTTACAGAGACTTTTCAATTTGAATGTTTTTCTTGTTAACCTGAAATAAATAGTACTCTGCTAAAAAGTCATCCAGTGGACTAAGTATTATGCAGTTATTAAAAAGGACTCCAAAGCAATATAGAAAAGTTATGAATTAATAAATGAAAACTGTCAGAACTATGTAAAGTATACAAGTAACTGATATTAGATGGTATATGAAAAAATGAAAACAGTGCTTTTGAGATTATGAACACATTTTGCTTCCTCAAAAAGTTTTGGGAAAGTTAGTCATTATTTAACTAATTAATTTTGTTAAACTAAAAGGAACTTGAGTTTTAGAGCAGCCTTTGAGGCCTGAGGCCAATGCTAGGGTAAACTCATCAGGTTCCTGAAGAAAATGGCTGTGGCTGGCGGAGTCAGGAGAAAGGTGGAGATTAATTAGTGCAGCGGTAAAACGGTACCTTCAGGCTCATAGTGTAAGGATGATAATAATAACTGACTTGGAGTGCCTACCCTGTGTCAGACACTGCCAAGCACTTTACTCTCCTCTCATAGACTCGGTTAGTTCACTCCACAACCCTGTTCACTCAACCCTCGCTGGTAAGCCTTGGTTCCATGAACAGAATCATTCTGTCAACCTCACAAAAGTGTACTCTTTACACCGTGCAGTTCACACCTGCCTGGCTGGCAGAAAGGTCCACAATGCTTCCTCAGTGCCTGGAATCCCACTGGCTTTGCCCTGGAAGGGGATGATTGAGCCTCCTCTGCTCTCTGCTCTCCTTAGAGAACAGGACAGAGCCCAGCTTGGGGGTGAAATCTGCTGCTGAAGCACTCACAGCTGCACCTGTGTCCTTCCAGCCTAGCTTTGGGCCACTTCCAGCTTCTGCTGTGCCTCTGTTTACTTTTGTCCTATTGTTCCTAAAACTTCGAGTAGAATTTTTTGTTTGTCGAGCAGGGGGTGAGGAGGACAACTATCAGAACTATTTCAGCCACTCCTTTAAGCCCTAGAATATACAGCCTGGGGCAAAGTCCACACTTGCCACACCCTCTTTGGCTGTTGTCTTTTCTCCTTTGATAACTTTTTTCTGCCTTCTGCCTCCAGTGTGCCAGGAGACTATGTCCCAGAAATTCTAAAGTTTTATTGTGCATTTATTACCTCATTTTACTTGTCAGCTTATGGCTGAGTTCATCCAAAAGGAGGAGCAAAATAGGTTCTTTGTAGATGCCAGCTGATGATAAACATGCCAATTTTACAAATTGCCTAATTTGTTTTCTTGGAACCCATTCCTTTATTGGGAACTCAGTGGAGCTCATGCAGTCACAGAAAAGAGGCTAATCCAAGGCTGCAGTGATCTTTTTTACTGAGGAAAAGGTCAGTAATGAGGGAAAAGATAAAGCCACCAGTGCTTGGTGCAGGAGTAAACCTGATTTTAAAAATAAAATCTGTTTGCCCTAGCCGATGTGTCCCAGTGGTTAGAGCGTCAGCAGGCACACAGAAGGATTGTGGATTCAATTCCTGGTCAAGGGCACATTAGAGCCCCACCACAGTCGGGGCGTGTGTGGGAGGCAACCAGTCAATGTGTCTCTCTCATCAATATTTCTCTCTCTCCCTCCCTCCTTCCCTCCCACTTTCTCTAAAAATCAATGGAAAAAATATTCTCAGGTGAGGATTAACAAAAATAAATAAAATCTGTTTGTGTCCAGTCTTAAATTCACTACAAGTTCCCTACCTAGCAGTACCAGCCTGAAACCTCAAACTGATTAATAAGTATGTGTTTTTAATCAAAGCATGCATTTTCATAGCCTCTAAGTGAGGGGACTGAAAGGAAAAGTTCACAATTTCCTTTTCAACTAAAATTGGCTTTGTGTTGTTAAGTCTTAACTACCTGACATTTAACACATAGTCTTAATTTAGCCTAGACTTCGTTCCTGAGAGTCAATTTTGATTGTTCTTGATTTAGTTTATTTTCTAATTCCTTTCATTTTTTAGCTTTAAAATTTTCTCTTTTGACACACTAAAGATGTGTTAGAGTGAGACATCTCCCCATTTTGCTCACTCTAAAGCATTTAATGATGGGCTCAGAAAGAGCCCACGGGGATTCAGTTTAAGTGGAGGGCAACTTCCTCAACTGGGACTAATTTTGTGTTCTTTAGTTTCCCACAGTCAGATCACTCGTCTCTACAGCCGGTTCACCAGCCTGGACAAAGGAGAAAATGGGACTCTCAGGTAGGCAATTCCTTGCTTTATTTTCTGGTGATGTCTTTATTTATCCTATGGGCAGACATGATAGGCATCTAGCATGCAGAGAGCAGGGACCATTTCTTCACTTGTCTTTGAGCATCATTGATCCAAAAGGGAGTTGAAGCAGAACGCTGGCATTACATTTATCACTAGGTGCTTGCTGCTTTACTCCAACTCCCCTTAGTTTCGGTTGGCCATTGTTCTGGTCCTAAGAATGTACATTTGAGAATTTCTGTTCTTTCTGCTTGAGTTTTCCCACAGTCGTTTCCCAAAAATATTAGCTTTTAGGAAGTTGACCCATAGCCATCCAAGATGGTCAGGTGGTTTTGTCCTCTCTCCTATTTCCCAGCACAACCCCTAACCCTAGGGTACATCTCTGTATATATATTAATGGTAGATAAGACGTTCAACACTTTAGTCCAGAGCAGTGGTTCTCAGCTGAGAGCTGTTTTGCCCCTGGGTGGCAAAATGTCTGGAGACACTTAATTGTCATGACTAAGGAATGCTACTCTTGTCTAGTGGGTAGAGGCCAGGAATGCTGTTAAATATCCTACAGTACACAGGACATCCTCCCACAACAAAGAATTATTCTGCCCTAAATGTCAAAAGTGCCACTGGTCTAAAGTAAGTATATGATTTCAGAGTAATGTAATACTGTATCATTTCATGTTTGTAATTGTCTTATCAGAGTCAAATGAAAAAATACCTCCTTACCACCACCTCCCAACCTAACTCTCAATACAGTACAACATTTTTAAAATTTTATTTTATTTATTGATTTTTAAAGAGAGAGAGGGAGAGAAAAACATCAATTTTGTTGTTCCACTTAATTATGCATTCATTGGTTGATACTTATATGTGCCGTAACCGGGGATCAAACCCGCAACCTTGGTGTGTAAGGACGATGCTCTAAGCAACTGAGTCACCTGGCCAGGGCTTCAGTACAACCTTTTGTTACTGTTGTTCCTCAGCTTTGATTGACTGGTATAGAATGAAGCTACTTGCCTTTCTGGTGGCTGGCAGAAAGCAGTTTAATACTTCTTTGGAAGGCTTCTGGTACAGGTGTGGGGTATAGCATAAAGGGGGAAGGAATATAGTTGCTAAGCCTTGTACATATCCTCAGGCAGAACAGCTAGAGAATGCTGGTAAATCCCTAGGGCTATGTTTGCTCAAGGCAAAATCTGCCATTACTAGAAGCCAGGATTGACCAAAACCATGCTGCACAGTCATTAAAATCAGGGACTGTGGGAGATCCAGGTTCGATTCCCAGTCAGAGCAGGTGCCCAGGTTCAGGGCTTGATCCCCAGCAGGGGGTGAGCAGAAGGTACTGGTCAATGACTCTCATCATTGATGTTTCTATCTCTCTCCCCCTCTCCCTTCCTCTTTCTGAAATCAATTAAAAAAATACATTAAAAAAAAGAGAGAGCTTGGTCAGCTTGTGAATACAAAGATGGTTTATTTATTTAAATACCCTCTCTGCTGATCTAATCCATGGTCTTAGAAGTCAAAATAATGATTACCCTTTGGGGAGGGGAACAGGTAGAGAGACAAAAAGAGCATCTGATAATAGGTAATAGGTAACAGACAAAGGGTACTGATAATATTAATTGGGTGCAGGTTACAATCTTCACCATGAAAACTCATCATGCTGAATGCTTATGATTTGTGCTGTTTTCTATATGTATATTATACTTCAATAAAAGTTTACTTTTAAAATATCCTCTGTATTGAACAATTTTAATATTGGGTCTTTGTCAGATAAAACTTTTTCTCAGATAATACCTTGATGAAAAATGTTCCTGGATATGAAAGCATACAGGTTAAGATGACTACAGGGGACAGTATAGACCAGCTAAACTCTGCGATGAAGTTATTACTGGGAATTGCTAGTTGGTTGTGTTATTACATATCGTTTAATGATTACCTGTAACTTTTAGGAGATTTTGTCCAGAATGGTAGCCATTTATCTGCTTAACCACTAAGCTTTTTTGAGGTTCATTTTCTTGTTTGACTTTATCCAGAGGACAGATGATTTCAATATTCTGGACAAGCAGTAGCTCTGTACACAGTGGTATCACAGATGAGAACCATGATGCCAATCTAACTCTCATTCTTTTGATAATCTTTTTTTTCCCCTCTCTCAAAGCTTCAAATATCTCCTCTTGATGTTCTGAAATTTCACAGTGATATACCCTTTTGTGGGTTATTTTCTGATACTCATTGCTTAGTATTAGGAGAACCTTCTCTATCTAAAAATATGGCCTTTTCTGGGAAGTTTTCTTCTGTCTGAGTATTTCCATCCCTCTCCTTTTCATTAATCTTTCTTGGTTGGACTGCCCTGATGCAGCTTTTCTCTCACGTTTTCTGGTTATTTGGATTTGTCCTTTGCTTTCTGAAAGATATCCTCGAATTTATATTTTAGTCCTTTTTATGAACTTGTATAGTCCACAACTATTTTTTTTCTAGTGATGTGGCATTATTTTTTAATTTTTTTAAATTTTTAATCCTCACCTGAGGACATTTTTTCCATTGCTTCTCAGAGAGAATGGAAGAGAAAGAGAGAGAGAGAGAGAGAGAGAAAGAGAGAGACATCTACGTGAGAGAGATACATTGATTGGTTGCCTCCTGTATGTGCCCTGACTGGGGCGGGGGATAGAGCCTGCAACCAAGCAAGGTATGTCCCTTGGCCGGAATCAAATCTGGGACCCTTCAGTCTGCAGGCCTGTGCTCTAACCACTGAGCCAAACCTGCTAGGGCCACAATCATATTTTTATTTATTTTTATTTTTATTTTTTAAAAATATGTTTTTATTGATTTCAGGGAGAGAGAGAAACATCAATGATGAGAGAGTCGTTGATGGGCTCTCCCCCTACTGGGGATGGTGCCAGCAACCCGGGCATGTGCCCTGACCAGGAATCAAACCGTAACCTCTGGTACATAGGTTGACTCTCAGCCACTGAGCAGCGCTGGCTGGGCCACAATCATATTTTTAATTTCTAAGAATCTTTCTTGTTCTCTACCTCTGCTCTTTTATAGTAGCTTATTTCTGTTTTACCGTTGCAAAAATTTATCAAATGTCTATTGGATTACTTACTAGAATCTTAACATTCTAATAAGAATCTTTCATTCTAATAACCCTTTTGTTCCCTGAATTAGTATTCATCTTGATCCTACTCTTTTGTACTATTAATTTTCCCAAAATAGCTGGTGAGCCTTGGTTGTCCATTCATATTTATGAAAAGTCCTGGATGGACTATTGTAGAAAACTGGCATGGGTTTGTTTGTGGATGGTTTCCCCATAGGTCTTTCCCTTCTAAACTCTGGGACCATTAAGGACCATTAAGTTAGTAGGCCTCACTTCAGGATATGTGGTCAGGGAGCAAGGGGACATATCTGCAACATCCTTCCCCAAATAAAAGGAGTGTGTTCCTGGGTTGCCAACCTCCCACACTTGAAGTTTTGCCCAGGTAGATCTTTCAGTTTCTTTCCATAGCAGTGCTCTGTTTTTATCCTAGGGACAAATGGTTTTATATTTTTGGGATGGGCCCTGGCAGCAGTGGGCAGCTGGCCCATTCTTTAAAGTTTCTTTAATTAATTACCCTGAATGCTGCTTCCCTTACCTGGCAGCTCTGCGTGTGGTGCCATGCTGAGACTCTGCGGGGCAAAATGGCTCTCTCCTCTGCTGCGGCCTTGTCATGGGCACTCTACTCTTACTTGTCACTACATTTGCATCTATTTTCCAACTTCCAGATTTTGTCAGAATCCCTTGTCTACTAATATACTCCTCCCACCCTGGTTGTTTATGTCACAGATATATTCCCGTGTGTAAATTTTTGCTGACAGTTTAGAGAGTTTTAGAAAATGAGAGGAGGTAAACGTGTGTGCCCACTGTCCTCAACCAAAATCAGATGCAGTCTTGCAATAAGCCAGCCTGGCCCTTGAACACTTAAAACAACTAGCAAAGACTGAGTTCAGCACTTATTGACACTGTATATCAAGAAAATTCTGTTATTGCCCCAGCTGCTGTGGCTCAGTTGGTTGAGCATCGTCCTGAGCACCGAAAAGTCACTGATTCGATTCCCAGTCAGGGCACATGCCCAGGTTGTGGGTTTGATCCCCAGTTGGGGTGCATACAAGAGGCAACCCATGGATGTTTCCCTCTCACATTGACGTTTCTTTCTCTTCCGCTCTTCCTTCCTCCCTCTGTAAAATTAATTAAAACATATAAAAAAAAGAATTTTATTATCATAACAACAATAAAATTATTTTATCAATTTAATTTAAAATATTAAATGCTGGAATAGTGGAAATTATTGTCATTTCAATGTTAATAAACATATATAATTGTATTATAAATATAAATAATAAATGATTTATCTCTATTGTACTAAATACGGGAAACTTTTTCTTAATTGAACATGTTCCCATGGGTATGTCCTATTAACAGATTTTAATGTCTTCATTATGTATAAGTTATCTAAGCTTTGACCCTGGTTCCTTGAAATATAAGCAGTTAACTGTGAGGCCAATTCTAAGTAAGAGAAGGGACTTGCACAGCGAAGGTCAGTTAGGAGCCCTGGCAGTTCTGGTTACTAAAGGTCTCTCAAACTCTGGTTTTCCCAAGCATCCCAGTGTCTGTGAATGCCTGGAAAACCACTCTTCACTGGGAATTTCTTGACTACAAAGATTGCCTACTACCAATAATAATGTTTTTTCTTTAAAAATCTTCAAGGAAGATTTTCCTAGGTATACTATGAGGTAGAATATAATAGTGATATACTTTTTTATGAGTTCACACAAACCTACATTTCAAATAAATCTTACTTGTGGTGTAGACTCCTTGGGGTATTTTTTAAATTAAGTTTGTATTGGTGGACAAATTTAAGGAGCTAAGTTTAGAGAAATTGCCCGGGTGATCTTCATTCTACTATAGAACAGTAATCATAATAAACTGTATATTTAATAGTTTAAAAACTATTTTTATATTCTTCTGTTTTCATTTTGATACTTTCAGCAGTATTCCCACTGGTCGTATAGAGCAGCACTGTATATGCAATCTGAATTCTAAGAGGAGGTTAAAAGTGTCTAAGAACAGGGTATAGGTCCCTTATTAACATGGGAAGTCCAAGACTAGATCCCTTATTGAGACTGAAGGACTTCAGGCTAGGTTGTGCACTCACAAATTGATACTAGACCTTGTGTTTAAACTGTGCCTTTTCTCAGCTAAAATTACTGAAGCTTGTTAGACATTAAACTGAGGTATGTGGTCATACAATTCAAAATCAGCCTTAATCTTCATTTAAAAGGGAATCGTTATTGTTTCTTAACCTCTGTCAAACAAGAGGAGCTCATTTTGGTGAAAATGTGGACTTTGTATTATAAGAGCTTAATACATGTTTGTTGAATTAAATAATCAAGAGTTCGGTAATTTTATTTATCTTTTATCATCTTAAGCAACCTAGTTACTTTATGAATGACTTCTTCTGGTTCATTCATTGCTATAAAAATTACTATCCTAAGTGGTCAAGGAATATTGGAATCCAGAGTTATTGTTCCAGAGCTTTGTGCTCAGTCTCCTATTTCTACCTTTGTCACCATCAGATGTGGTGGAGATGAGCTTGTTGAATTAAGCACTGTAAATGTTAAACCACAAGAGGAACAGTGTGTTGAAGGCTCCTAGGTAAACAGAAACATTGAGTAAGTTTTATCTCTTCTGTTAGTAAACATCTTGAAGGCAGGAATCAGATTTGTTGAGTTTATATTTCTTTACATACTTGATACCCAGATATACCAGTTAGTAACATTTTGCCACATACTTCAGTGTCTTATTTCCTATAACAAGGGCCTTCTCATCTCAAAATCAAGAAATTTAGCATTTTGATGCAGTACCATTATATAATATTTTATATTCTGTATGGTCCATATTTCATTTTTACCTATTGGCTCAGTAATGTCCTTCATAGCAATTCTCCTAGTCTAGGATCATGCATTGAGTTTAGTTGTATGTTTCGTTAGTCCCCTTTGATCTGAAACAATCCTGTGCCTTTCTCTGTCCTTCATGACATTGGTATTTTTGAAGAGTGAAGCACATTTTGTTACGTTGTAGACAGCTCTATAGTGGCACAGAACAGCAATCAAGAAGTTTCTTTTTAAAATACTTATTGAACATTTTTGGGAGAACACCTTTCTTTCAAAAAGTTTAATATTGGAAAGAAATGGTTTTTACAAAAAAAACGTGCTTTGACTTAACAGACTTTGATTTAAGTCACAGTTCTGCTACTTACTAGCTTTGTAGCATGGGGCAAGTTACTTCATCTCACTGACTCTCAATGTCCTCAGCTCTAAAAGGGTATAGATAAAATGTTGCCATTAAGAAATAAGGTAATATATATAAACAGAGCAGCACATAATGTGTATACAGTGAATGGGAACTAATAATACTCCAACGTAACTTCCAGGGTGTGAGAAGATAACTGCTCTTGCCATATTTGAAGGTTAAATAGCTGTCTAACTCTAGTCTGTAGAAGACAATGGAGGGGAAAAAACAGACTCAGCAAGGAAGTCTGGAAATCAGTTGTCACATTTTATTCTTTCCTTGGACTTAAGCATTGCCTAAGAGTACCAAGGGTATGGAGGCTCCTCTCACTTTTTACTCCCATTTTCAAGCTCTCTGGTGTTTGATACTCTGCATTTGCTGTTCATTCTCCAAACTTAGTAACTAAGTACAAAATGGTAACGTTCAAGGAATCATTTACAGGGACAACTGAGTATTTGCTTGTCAGTGGTTTATTGACGTAACCTGTGTGCTGAATTCACTGGAATGTGGCATAGTTAAATCTGGCTTCTTCCACTCCTAACGGTGCAAGAAACACTTGGCAGCTATTAAAGTGCTATTCTTTGCAGTTATTTGGAATAATTTGCCACAGAAGTAAATTCCAGGAGGTAATATCCTTGCTAGGTTGTACTCTTGCATGACTGAAGGAGCTCATGCTAAAGGCCAATGGTCTCTAATTCAAGGTGATTCTCTTGGCAGCCGGGAAGATTTCCAGCGGATTCCAGAACTTGCCATCAACCCACTGGGGGACCGGATCATTAATGCCTTCTTTCCAGAAGGGTGAGTCCATGCAGTTATCGGGCTTCCTTTCTGAGGTTAATCTGGAAATAATATTGGTTGGATCATCTCAGACCACAATCCTTCTGATTATATTGGACATCCCTAACTTGGTCATATCTAGAATATATCTTTTCTTCTACCCTCCTCCCTTTTTAAACTTCGAATAGGTATATGAGCCCATCTTCAAACTTCTGTTTTTAATTCTTGTTTATCTGTTTAGTTTTTTAAATTATTTTTTAATCCTCACCTGAGGAAATGTTTGTGTGTGTTTTTATTGATTTTAGAGAAGAGGAAGGGGGAAAGAGAGAGAAACATCAATGTGAGAGAGAAACATTGATCAGTTGCCTCCCATGTGTGCCCTAACTGGGGATCAAACCCGCAACCTTTTTGTTGTATGAGATGTTGTTCCAACCAGCTGAGCCACCCGGCCAGAGTTAATCCTTGTTTATCTTTGAGGTAAAACTAAACTCTTTAAAAACTTTATTTGGAAATTATTTCATATATGCATAAAAGTTGCAAAAATTGAAAATAGCACAAAGGGCACTTGTATATCTTTTACCCAGACACATCTATTGTTATATTGTTAACATGTCAACCTCATTTGCTTGTGCTTTCTGTCTCTCAGTCTAAGCCAATAAAAATATAATCAAGACACAGACATAATTATAAATTTTCTAGTAGCCACATTTAAAAAGTAAAAATTAACAAGTTAAATTAACTTTAGCAATATATATTTTATTTAACCCAATATAGTCAAAGTATCATTCAACATGTAATCAGTATTTTAAAATTATTATTATTATAGCATAACATTCTTTTTTTTTTTAAAATACATCTTTATTGATTTCAGAGAAAGGAAGGGAGAGAGAGAGAGAAACATCAATGATGAGAGAGTCGTCATTGATCGGCTGCCTCTTGCGCGCCCCTAACTGGGGATCAAGCCTGCAACCCGGGCATGCGCCCCAACCGGGAGTCGAACAGTGACCACCTGGATCCCAGGTCAATGCGCAACTGCTAAGCCACTCCCGGCCAGGCTGTGTGTGTGTGTTTTTAATTTATTTTTAATTTTTTTATAAAACTGATTAAGAATGCAGTCGTCCCCACCACACACACATTTTCTCAAATAGATTTGGGTTTGTCTAAAACTAGGCTTTTGATATGCTTCATTCCCTGATACATTGCCTTCAATGTACTGAGTCAATATTTATTGATTTGATTAGGTAACTTTTCTGGAATAAAGTTAATCATATAATCTTGTTTTAATTAATCTCTTTAACAATCTCTTCCTGGTTCCTTGTGGCTTGTGTATATGACCCAAAGGACTTTTTAAGAAGTTATATGGTTGCCAGTTCTTAATAAGGAGACTAAATATCAGTGAGGACACTATCAGATAAAATGCCTGGAGAGGAAATTTTAGAACTCTGAATTGAGAGCAAAGGAATTTGCAAGTTGAGAAGTTGGGCACTCAGTAAATCTGAGTGACAGCCAGAGGGGGAACACTAGCAGCCAGTTTAGGTGAAGACTGAGACCTGCTCTTTCAGATTCATGTTGACCATGAGTAATCTGCTACCCTTATTCATTTTCATCCATTTCTCTCCCTGAAACTGCCCTATTTGTTTCAGGTGTAGTTTTTCTACTTCCTCTTTTATCTCTTGCAAAGCATTGAACCTTCAGAGAAGGCTTTCACAGCTGTTTATATTCAGATCTTTTGCAATGAAAAGTAAACCCTGTAGAGTTATTTTGCCAACTTTTTTTCAGAGTTCCTTAGTCACCCTTGATTATTTGAAGAAGCAGCTTGTGGAAAGCTGTTTTTTGTTGTTGTTTTGTTTAGTCTATTTTTAATATATCTTTATTGATTTGAGAGAGAGATAGAAACATCAATGATGAGAGAGTCGTTGATTTGCTGCCTCCTGCATGCTCCCTACTGGGGATTGAGCCCGCAATCCAGGCATGTGCCCTTACCTGGAATCAAACAGTGATCTGGATCATAGGTTGATGCTGTACCGCTGAGCCATGCCAGCTGGGCTGGAAGGCTGTTTTCTAAGGCCATGCCACCTTTGCTGTGACTACAGTATAACCTGCCATTCTACCCAGGGATGTGCTGCCAAGGACAATAGGCAGATAGATATGTATGAGGAAGCTTAGGCCCACACTGGGCTGCACTACTAAGCTCTTGGCAAGCTGCACCTCTCCTTCTTGTTCTTTCTTTTTTCCCCCATGTTCCCACTCTTTATTCCCTGTTTCTTGCTCTTTCTAACCAGATATAGATATTTGACCTACGGGGTGGTTTTTTCTCTAGTCTCATGCAAGTGGAATTTTTTTTTTAACTCACTCAAGGATATGTTTTATTGATTTTAGAAAGAAAGAGAAACATCTACAATGAGAGAGAGACATCGATTGGTTGTCTCCCACATGCACCCCAACCGGGGACAGAACCTGCAACCAAAGTATGTGCCCTTGACCAAGGATCGAACCCCTTACTGGTCAGGGCACATACTTGGGTTTCAGGTTTGATCCCCAGTCGGGGTGTGCGCAGAGGGCAACTGATCAATGTTTCTCACATTGATATTTCTCTCTCTCTCTCTCTCCCCCTCTCCTTTCTTTTCTAAAAAAAAAAACAATTAAAAAAAACCACAAAGAATGAGACTTGCCTGGCCGGTGTGGCTCAATTGGTTGAGCGTTGTCCATGTACCAGGAGGTCACCGGTTTGATTCCCAATCAGGGCACATGCCAGGGTTTTGGGTTTGATCCCCAGTAGGGGGCATGTAGGAGGCATCCAATCGATGTTTCTCTCTCTCTTCCTCTCTCTGAAATCAATAAAAACATACTAAAAAAAGAAGAAGAAGAAGAAGGATATTTGAAAGTGGAACGTTGGTATTTAGTTACTTTTTGCTCAGAGTCATTATGGCAGTAGAATATGTACTCATTAACCTATTTGTTCTGGCATGTAAGTCATATCTTATTTCACATTACTGGGTTCCTCAGATCTTACATTTTTTACAAGATACTACTCCATTAGTAGTATAGCAACCTCTAAGAATTAAAGATTAATCTTTTGAGTACAGTGGGCTTATGTGCTTTGAACTCTACCTTTAGAAGGTCTCTGATCTAATGTGTACCTGGCACTTAAGAGACCTACTATACTACACCTGATCAATGGGACACAAAGACTAGGATTTATTCTTAGGGAGCCATAGGAACCAGGCAGCTGTTCTTTCCAGGGCTGCCCTAGATGAATAACTATGTCACATGGGACATTCTCTTTCAATATTAAAGAACATTCTCCATTTATTCAAATTTTAGAATTATTTCTTAAAGGATTATTGAGTAGCTTGTAGCACGAATAAAAGATTGTCTCTAAAGTACCAAAAAAGCTTTATACACAAAAAGATCTTTCAAAACATTGTGATCATGAAAAATGGGGCGGGGAGGGGGATCTATCCAAATATGAGGGAATAATAGAATCATGATTCAGACACAATTATTATGCACATGTTTAAAATGTTTCAAAGTATTTATATTCATTGGAGACATGCTTTAAAGTTTTAAAAGGCAAGATACTATAGAAACAGGCTCATACATCCAGAGAACAGACTGATGATTGACAGGGGTCTTATTTGGGGACTGGGTGAAAAAAGTGAAGGGATTAAGAAGTACAAAATGGTAGTTACAAAATAGGCATGGGGATGTAAAGTACAGCATAGGGAATACAATCAGTAATTTTGTAATAACTATAGGGTGGGGTAAAAGTAGGTTTATAGTTGTATGTGAAATGGAGTTTATTCTTGTATTATTTATTAATTATTGTGTTATTTTCTATACAAACAACTGTAAACCTACTCTTGCCCCGCCATGTATGTATGATTCCAGGTGGGTGCTGGAAATATCAAGGGGAACACTTCATAAAGTTTATGATTGTCTAACCACTGTGCTGTATACCTGAAATGAATACAAAATAATATTGAATGTAAACTGTAATGGAAAAATAAAATTTAAATTTAAAAAAATAAATAGCCCTCACCAGCATTGCTCAGTGGTTAGAGCATTGGCCCCAGCACTGAAGGCTAGTGGGTTTGATTCCCAGTCAAGGGCACGTGCCTGGATTGCAAGTTTGATCCCTGGCCTTGGTTGGAGCACCTGTGGGAGGCCTCGTGTCTGTCTCCCTCGCTTCCTCCCTCCCTCGCTTCCTCCCTTCCTCCCTTCCTCCCTCCTCCTCCCTCCCCTTCCTTCTCCCTCTCCCTCTCACTCACTTCCTTCCACTTTCAAAAATCAATGGAAAAAATATCCTCGGGTGCAGATTTACATAAATAAATAAATAAATAAATAAATAAGCAAGCAAACAGCAAAATACAAAATCATATGTACAGTATGTTCATAATTATCCAAACAGCATAGAAAAATTACTGAAAGAAAATTTATTAATGATGATTATAATCGATTAGTAGTAAGAGTGGTTTTTTCCCTACCTTTTTCCCCCAAATTTCCAAAAATGTATTTATTGCTTTTAAAACTAAATAAACTTTATTTTAAAAGCACCTTTTCCATAGCACGCCTTAACCTTAAAATATCACTAGGTATATGTTACTGCAGGGGAGATGTGGGAGGCCGTTGGGATTGAAATGACCACCTTGCTGCTTGCTGCAAATTCCAAAGCTGTGAGTTTAAATCCTGGCTTGCCTCACAGCATAGCCCTGGAGCTACTTGAAATCCTGTTTGGGAAAAGAGAAATAAATTCAGTAGATAACTGAATTTTGTCCCTGGTTAATCCCTTATAAAGTGGGAATGATAATACCTACCTCACAGGGTGGGGTTGAGACTTAAATGAAGATATTTTATGAGCACTCAAGTACCATGCATATGGAAAGAGACCTTGTTGAATGGATTTTCGTGCCATTTTAGCTAAAGCTATTGCCAGTATATTGAATTCATGAGAAATGATCACCCTGATTGACATGGTGTTCTGTTTGTTATATTTCCCAGAGAGGACCAGGTTAACTTCCGTGGATTCATGAGAACTTTGGCTCATTTCCGACCCATTGAAGATAATGAAAAGAGTAAAGATGTGAATGGACCAGAACCACTCAACAGCCGAAGCAACAAACTGCACTGTAAGGAGCTAAAGTCTTTTGGTTTAAAGCATTTGCTTTTTATTTCTTACAAATTATTTATTCATTCACTTATTCAACAAACATAAGAGCATAGTGGTTAAGAGCTCAGACCCTGGAGCTAAACTGGTTGGTTTGAATTCCAGCTCTGCCATTTTTTGACCATCTAACTTTGGGCAAATTACTCAAACTCTTTGGGCCTTGGTTTCCTCTTTTGTAAAATGGAATATTAAAGGGTTTTACCTAGGGATGTTTGTGAGGATTAAATGAGTTAATATATGTCAAGTACTTCAAACAATGCCTGGCAATGGGTTAGTTACTAATATTATTCTTATAAATCATAGAATGCCTACTGTGTGCCAGGCACTGTAGTTAAGTGCTAGGGTGACAACAGTGAAAAAGACCCAGCCCCATCTACAGCCATACCACCCTGAACACAACTAATTTCTGATCTGAGAAGCTAAGCAGTGTCAGGCCTGGTTAGTACTTGGATGGGAAAAAGACCCAGCCCCACCTGTAAGGAATGACGACAACCCTCACCCCATCTTAGAATTTGATAGGTACTGGATGTGACTTACGTAGGAGTAGACAGCTGGGTTGGTGCACAATTTAATCTTTCTCCCCATACCTTTTGCCTCCTTTCTTTGGATGTTTGTTAGATTTCCCTCTGACCTTGTTGGTTCAAATATGATATTGCCCAATCTCTTACAAAACTTCTCTAAGAAATTAAAATTTAATTTCTCTTTTCATTTAAGACAGTCACAATTGGAATTGAAATTGTATTGAATTGATTGAATCCAAGCTTCTCTTCAAGGATGCACAGTGGTATACAGAGAGGTCTGTGAAAAGAATTTTTAATATTGAAACAAATACAGATTATCATGCCAAATCTACATACATTTTTAAATGGTGCATAAGACTTAAAAATAAACTTTTGATTTGTGGCCCTTGGGCCATACCCTCGATCTCCTGTCTATAGGAGTATGAGGTTACTCCTTTGCTCACAAAAAGGGTTAAAGAAGCACTGAAATATGTATTGTTATATAGGATAGGGAAGATTTTTTGAACCAAAATAATGAAATACTGCTCTTCTTTACTATAAGATCATGTACCTTAATGATAGAGCAGAACACTTAACTATAAACAAAACTGGATATAGAAGAAAATAGGACTCTAATGATTTGTGCTCAGACGTACTGGATACTGTATTAGTGAATTTCAGTTGCTTCTTTCAAGACGACATACTGTTTGAGACAAAGCCTTATGTCTTGCATTGTAAGAGTTTTAGGGCATATTTAGTACGTTTTCCTGATTCTGAAATTAGTGTGGTAGAAATTTTCTTATTCAATGCTCAGATAAGGAATTGATCAATAATTGAAAAAGTCAACTATAGCATAGCATCATAGAAAAGGATACTTGGTTTAACATTTTATTTTTGCCTGAAGTAGTTAAAAATACATTTACAGCCCAATTTTTTTTATATAGGATCAAGGTTGTTTTGTTTTAGGATAGGTCTGCTGGTGGGAGTGGTGTGACTTTTTGTGTACAGCACATCTATAATGTATAGTCTAAGGTTTCTAGTTGCAGTTTATTTTACGTAGAAAGAGAGCTTAAAGATACTTGTGAAGCATTCTGAGAACAGAATCTTTCTAGGTGTTTACATTTTCCCCCTCAGTCTTTTATAGTTGTTCTACCATGCTTACTTTAGCAAGTTTTGTTTTTCAATGACTTAATAATTTTAAGTCTTTTAGAAATAGTCTAATTTTCTTAGAAACAGTAACATTTCACATACATGTTTTGTTAAATTATGCAGTTTAATTAAAAGTACAAATAGTAGCCATGGCTGGCGTTGTTCAGTGGTTAGAGCGTCAGCCTGCACAACAGAGGGTCACTGGTTCGATTTCTGGTCAAGGGCATATACCTGGGTTGCAGGTTCGCTCTCCATCCCCCAGTCCAGGAACATGGGGGAGGCAACCAATTGATGTTTCTCTCTCTCTCTCTTTCTCTCTCTCTCTCTCTCTCTCTCCCTCCCTCTCTCTCTCTCTCTCTCCCTCTCCCTCTCTCCCCCGCCTCACACCTCCCACTCTCTCTAAGAAAATTAATAGAAAAAATATTCTCCACAGATGAGGATTAAAAAAAAAGTACAAACACTTTTAGGACTGTTGACACACCTGACTATTGGTAAGCAACTCTACAGGTGGAGTGGACACTCGTGTAGCCCGTCAGTTACAAGTATACAGTGTGCTACCACATCAGTCAGAACAATTTGTAGAGGGGAGGAAAAACATCTGTGAGTCCAATGAGTTAGTTAAGGAGAAGATAGTTAAGAGACATTCTGTGTTCTATAAAACTATGCTTGTTTTCTAATCCAGGATGAGTAGGAACTTTAAAGGTCACCAGATCTAACACAAACCTGTTACCTGAATTCCTTCTACACCATGAGCTCTACTTTTTCCAAGTGATGGATTCCCATGGCAGTCTGGTGAATCCTATTGATCCCACCTCAGAATGATTTTGAATCATAAAATAAAATACATAGGATTATAAAGGAATCCAATTTTATTGAAATATAATTAACAAAATATTAAAACAACTTTGTGTTATATTAATAGATATACTTCTTTATTATACATTAAATAACAGGATGTAACATTGGAGCCCTGTGGCTTTGAAACAGCTCTGTATCTTGAATGTGGTAATGTTTACATAGCACTACATAGGGGATAAAATTGCAAGGGAGCAATAGGTTAGAACACCCAAAAGTTATGATTTTGTATCACACCAGAGAAAGATTCCCAGTGATATGCTGCAGGGCTTTTTCAGCTTTTTGTTGTTCTTTTCATCAATGACGTTTCACTGAAATTGTAATAAGCAGATATTACTGAGTTTCTGGTTGACGGTAAATTTGGAGGCATTGTGTATAAAGGAAGTCACAGAGTCAAAAACAAAAAAGATCTTCATAGGCTGAAAAAATATGGACTAAGTGTAACAAAATAAATATTATAAGGGATAAACTGGAGTGCTGCACTTGAGTCTAACAACACGTATAAAGATGTAAGGGGTAGAGCGGGTGGTAAGGTAGAGGAGGGTAGAGGAGAGATAAATGGTCATGTACAGGGACTTGACTTGGAGGTGAACACACAATACACTGTACAGATGATGTGTTATGGAATTGTGTACATGAAACCTGTATAATTTTGTTAACGAGTGTCACTCTGATAAATTCAATAAAAAAGAAAAGAAAAACAAGATTTAAGGATTTCTGGCAAGATAGTAGAGTAAACGCAATACTCATCTCCTTCCACAACCACATCAAAATTATAACTAAACCAAAGAACAACCATCATTCACAACCACGTGAAATCTGGCTGAATGGAAGTCCTACAACTGCAGAATTAAAGAAGCCACATCAAGACTGATAGGAAGGGTGGAGATGTGGAATAGGCTGGTCCCACACCCACATGTGGTGGGTAAAAATTAGGAGGGATATCTCAGCTTCAGAGGTTCCCCTGAGGAGTGAGGGGGTCCCAGCCTCACAACAGGCCCCCAGCTCAGGGTTCCAGTGCCAGGAAGAAAAGTCCCCATAACTTCTGGCTGTAAAAACCAGCAGGGATTGTGGCTTAGTGAGACAGAGGGTGGCTGGAGTCCCAGGCAGTTCCTCCTAAAGGGCCTTCACACAGATTTACTCAGACTCACTCTGAGCTCCATTGCTGGTGCAGCAGCTTGAAAGGTACCAAGGGCATGAGGAGGAACTCAGTTGTCATGAATCAGGGCCAGAGCTGGGGGTTTGGGGGAGGGACAACTTTCTCTCAGACAGAAGTGCTGGCAGAGACCATTGTTCTTTTGATGAGCCCTCCCCACAGAGCCTGCAAGGGGGCATCATATCTTGAGTCTCCCTCAAACTGGCTCACTGTTGCTCTTCCCTGATTATTCCTTAAGGCCCTACTCCACCCAACTTTCGTGCCCACCCAGGCTGTCTTCAGTGGCTTTTCCATATGAATGGCCTGTTGCAGCTCATGCTTCAGATTTTCCCAGAATCTCTCAAACAAGCAGCATCTGGCCTCAGCATGCCCTATACCTATTACTAAGCGGCCCCAGGCCTGGCACTAGCAGCAGCCAGCCTCACTTCACAGTTTGGTCACACCTTGGCACTACCAAGCCCCAGCACAAGTAGTAGCCATCTGAAGATTGCTTTGTAGCTCACACTGGGCTGCCCTGGACAGGACACAGGCGGCGGTTGACCTTAGCCTGCACCTCTCTGGAAGTCTCAAGGCCCGTGCACCCAGTGGACAGCTCCAGACCACACTGAAGCATCACCACCCAACCACCTCCACAAACAACACACTCGAGGGGCAGACTCAGAGGGCACCAGAGCCCCACTGAAGTAAACCCTGCTCTGTGGGGTGGGCCCCTGCACAGCTGATTCTCCACGGTAGTCACAGCCAGTCCTTGCAGCTGATTGGCCTGGATATAAATCCCTCCTCCCATTGATGTGCCAACAGCAATCAAGGCTCAACTACAAGAGGAGAGTGTACACAGCTCACACAGGGGCCGCACCTGGAGTGCCCAGCTTGGGTGAACAGGGAAGCTGTACAACTGGACCACAGAACAACTATTACATTAGGCCACTTTACCAAGCCTGGGAGACAGAGCAGCTCTACCTAATACATAGAAACAAAACAGGGAGGCTGCCAAAATGAGTAGACAAAGAAACATGTCCCAAATGAAAGAACAGAACAAAACATCAGAAAAATAACAAAATGGAAACAAGCAGCCTTCTAGACGCAGAGTTCAAAACGCTGGTTATAAAGATGCTCAGTGAACTTAGTGAGAACCTCAACAGCATAAAAAAGGACCACTCAGAAATGAAGGATACACTAACTGAACTGAAGAATAATTTACAGCAGATCAACAGTAAAGCAAAGGATCAAATCAGCTATTTGAAAGGAAGCAGAAAACACCCAACCAAACAGCAAAAAGAAAAGATAATCCAAAAAATTGAG